CAGGTCAAAAACCAAAGATGGCGCATTTGCCCTGGAGCCAGAGCGCCAAAGATCGAGAGCATGCCTCACAAAGGGAACGACTGCCTTCCCTATATGTTCAATATGAAATGTGCGGTTCTGGGGGTCGTATGCATCCTCTGTGGCTTTGGCTACAGCCCTGGACGCTTTCTTGCGAATCTCGTCTGCTCGCCGTTTGGTTCGCTCGCTCTCCGCCTTCAAGGCCTTGCTGGCGTAGGCCTGGAGATGTGCTTCAACGGCCTGCCCGCAGAGGGGATCAGAGAGCATTTCCTGGAAACATGACTTGAGTTCGGATAGCGCGATACGTGACAGAATGCCCTCCGTCGAATGCGGGTCCGGGTGATGACGTTTTGGGGATGTCTCTGCAAAGTCGAAAGTGTCGATAGGTCTCTTCATTGGTATCATTGGTCTCTTGGAGACGCCTATGGGTCTTCTGGTGCCGGCCATTGTGAGTGAGGAGGATGTTGAAGGAATCTAGATGATTTTGGTGATAAACTGTAGCCGACATTCCGTGCAAAGGTGTCTCGAAGGCAACTTCAACAATTATTTGGCGAATGTCACCACTCAGACGCGCCGAGACGCGACGTGGTAGGTACTTCACTTAAGACGTGGGGTAATATTGGACCCTCTGCAATCAATTTGAAGATTGCTTTTCTTGTTTAAGGCCAGTCCCCATGCCAACTAGCTAACTGCATGCAAAGGCAGGTTGACAGCGTACCAGACTGCTGTGGCTACATGACATTGAGCGCCAAGCACGAGCAGCCCCCGAACAACTTCCATCTGAAGTTTGAATAACCAAGACTTGATGCGCCAAAGTGCACACTGTCGACAGCGCACGCGACCAATCAGAGGGACCCCGGCCGACCGGTGACAGCGGCGCGGAACAGAAGGGTCGGGGAACACGACAGGCCAATGCAGGGGCCGTGGTGGTCCGAGCTTGGGTTTGGCGAGGGGGTTACCTGACCTGGAGATTTGATACGTGGATAGAATTAGGGACCAAGACAGCTAAAATGCCCCCCATGGAGGCTGCCCAAGTGAGTGGTGAACTGAGCCGACATGGGACCGCACTAACAAGGGCCCGTCACCGAGGCCAGCCCACCTGAGCCCAGCCAGCCAGCCCGGTGCCTTCCATTCCTTCTTTGCCTTCCTTGCCCGGGCTGGCCTTACCCGGCCCTGCCAACCTGCCTTACCTTACCATGACCTAGCACCTGGCAACTTCGTCGGGCTGCGCTGCCACTAAGCACCACCTCCTTCAGCACCAACGATCACACTCAGCACCCAGTGGTCCACCCCCGTCAGACACCTCCTTGCAAATCTCCAGCTGTGGAAGTGGGCAATGAATGGACCCGCGACCTAATCAACCTCCCTTAGACGAACCAGACCTGAAGCTGAGGGCGGGAACACTGGGAAGCGAGCAGCAGCAGCAGCCGCAACCAAAGGTGGGCTCCAGTCCTCCAGCATTCTGCAGCCAAAAACCACAACCAGAAGCACTCGACCCCCGAGTTATCTCAACTGCAACAACGACAGGCAAACAATTCCTTCACGACTCACGTGCGTCTACCTCGACTCTGCACCACCGATCCCGACCAATTGTCCCTGACGACGAGCCGAGCCTACTCCCTCGCTCTCCCTCTGCTGCTACCACCTCTCCTTCCTTGAGCCCGCAATCGCTCGCCATCGACAATCCACATTCTCGTGAGAGGGGGGCAATGACCATTCCCCCGCCGAACCATGGCTGATTCGGCCAGGTCATCGGACAAGATTCCCCGGTCCCCCTCCAAGGCGAAGGTCGTCCGCTCGCAAAGGATCTCCGGCCCGGCACAGACTCCCCCGCCGGGCGTCATCGGTGGCCTGCCTGACGACCTCGAGGAGCTGAGCGACCGTGACGTCGAGCACCACCGCCGCCTACCCTCCGTTCCGGGTGGCACCCTCCCCCGTTCCCACACCCCAGGCCATCTCTCCTCCAAGAGTCAAGATCGCCGTCGCAAGCACTCCGAGCTCTCCATCCGCCAACGCTCCCAATCCGCCTCGCAAGCACCCTCTCAAGTCCCCCCGACACGCACAACCCCAACGAGCGCGAACCCCCCTAAACCCCCGCCGACCTCATATCGACCAACTGGCGTCGATGCTCCCAACTCCAGCAACACCAACGACGGCTCCGAGTCTGCCGGCGGCCCCGGCTCAGACCGTGACGGCCGCCGTCCTGTCGCCATGCGCTCTACATCCGCCATAGCCGGAAAGGCTTCAATACCCTCCTCCTCAACAACGACACGTCAGCTATCAACCGCCGCCGCCGCCGCACGAGTCGCCGCGAGGGGGGCACATGTCCCCTTTCCACCTCTCCAGGACCCCAATACGGCGCCAGACGTGCCTCCAGCTCCATCGTCGGGCATGTACTGGTCTCGCGCACCCGTATCGGGTGCTCCGCACACCTCCCTCCGCGCCCATACCACAACGCTTGTCGGATCCAACATCTTTGTCTTTGGCGGCTGCGATTCCAGAGCTTGCTTCAACGAGCTATACGTCTTTGATGCCGATGCTTTCTACTGGTCTGTCCCCCACGTCACCGGCGAGATACCCGTTCCTCTACGCGCCATGACTTGTACCGCCGTTGGCAAGAAGCTGGTAATCTTTGGCGGCGGCGACGGGCCTGCGTACTACAATGATATCTACGTACTCGACACGACAAATTTCAGATGGCATCGGCCCAAGATTATAGGCGAACGTGTTCCATCCAAGCGCCGCGCCCACACCGCCTGTCTGTACAAGAACGGCATCTATATATTTGGCGGCGGCGATGGTGTTCGCGCCCTCAACGACGTCTGGCGCCTAGACGTCAGCGATATGAACAAGATGTCGTGGAAGCTCGTTTCCCCCCCTGAGCGGGCCCCGCCTCCTGGGGTCCGAGAAACCCGCCCAAAGCCCCGCGGCTATCACACAGCCAACATGGTGGGCAGCAAGCTCATCATCTTTGGCGGTTCCGACGGCGGTGAGTGCTTCAACGACGTGTGGGTCTACGACGTCGATGCCCACATCTGGAAGGCCGTCACCATCCCCGTCACCTTCCGCCGCCTATCGCACACGGCCACCCTCGTCGGCTCCTATCTGTTCGTCATCGGAGGCCACGATGGCAATGAGTACTCCAACGACGTCTTACTCCTCAACCTCGTGACCATGACCTGGGACCGCCGCCGCGTCTATGGTCTGCCGCCCAGCGGCCGTGGGTACCATGGGACAGTCCTCTATGATAGCCGCTTGTTCATCATTGGTGGCTTCGACGGGAGCGAGGTGTTCTCGGACGTATGGATGTTGGAGCTGGCCGTGCATGCATATTATTCCCAAATCAGCCATTTCACCATCGAGGTTTGAGGCCATTCCCTCCCCGCGCGCGCGTCTAATTATTGCTGCTATCTATACTAGCTAGTTGTTCTCTTTGTCTCAACTAAACGTGCGTGCGTGTGTGTGGTGTTTCGTATCCTGTTCTACTCTGTATCGTTACAAACCCTCCGAGTTACTACAGTATTTATGTTTGATGACGGAACGGCTTCATAAAACCCCGGTGGGCGGCAGGCAGGCATGCATTTTTCTTTATCTCTCGGTTGGAATACTGTAAACCAATACAAAAACACTCCAAAAACTCCGTTTAGAAGTGATGTTGTAATTTGCGACAAAAAAGACGTGACAATGCTGTCTAATTTGGCCCGCTGGGCAGATCAAACGTGACTTGCATATCATATCATCATATCTCTAGGAAACGAGTCAGTCTACATTGAGGTTGAATGGCAGGTACGTCATCTGAGAAGCGTGCCACCGGGCCGGTTCACTTGCTCCAGCTCGAAGTGGTTATCCGGTGAGGAGGGAGACGGAGAGATAGGTTACTCCAGGCGACATGGGTCCATCGTGACATACACTGAGATGGTGGGGTGTTGTCTTTCACCTTGAGGTATTGGTAGTTGGCACTGCAGGATATCAGGACAACCTAGCAAGCTGTCTCTGGCCTTTCGTACTGCAGAGTGTACGCACATGAAGAGAGAAATACAATGTCTATCAAACTTTGTCCCTTTTTCGTTTTCTCTTTCGGTATCACCGAATATGTTTCAGGCGAAGAACATGAAGAAAAAAAGGCTGAACTTCCCAGGAGATTGTTAACTGTCTCGTCGCGGGAGGATATTGACCTAGGGGGAGGTGAGCGGGGAAGATGTCTGCAGCAGCTATCCATCCGTAGGCCGGAGGAGGGGAGGGGTTGGTTGGGGTTGAAGTGAACGCGACTCAGAGACTGGATGATCGACGGCGGGGGTGGTGCGCCTGGCTTGCCGTTGTCACCGGTTTGGGGTTCCTGTGTACGACGGGGAACTCGAGAGTTGGAGAATGCTCTCCAAAAGGATACCTGGTTACACATTACAGCGATCTACCATACTGCATGTTCTATTCACGGCTCACGGAAACGAGGGACAGAGTGCGAGGGGCTCGCCAAGTTCGATTCGTTACCACCCCAGCTCTCGAGGCAGCTCAAGCATCAACCACGCACCCGCGTATCAAAAGAAGACAACAGAGGCAGGATAGCAGAATAGATAACATTAAAACAGGGATTGCATTACAGAGCTCCTTTTCTGACCGTTTTTGGAATCGTCAGGTTGTAGTAACCCCGGACCGTCTAAGTCGACTATCTCTTCTAATCTGAAATCGGCTTCACTCATGACGGGGTATTGCATCATGGTGAGGTTCACAGCCTGCGCAGTCGCCCGCCCTTTCCGTTAACGCCAGCAATGCAACGCAAGCCTCCAGTCCAGCTCTCTACTCCTCTGACTTTCCAGGAGAGGAGACGTTTTCGTTTACAGCTCATGAAGAGCTGCTTTAACGCGGTGACGACAAATAAGGGAATAAAAACAAAATTCAAAGGCTCGCCATCGTACAAGATGAATGTCGGTTAAGGGTAGATGCGTAGGTTGGCCATATCGTAACGGTGCTGATATCTGAGGCGTTTACTTCTGCTCCGCAGCCTTGCGGGCAGCGATACGACGCTCCTCGGCAGCGACCATGTCTGTTGGCGACATACGTTAGCATGGGTTTCGACGTGGGAGAGATAGCTTGGTGTTGGGGGGTATGACGTAGGTGAACTTACCCTTCCACAGGTCCTGACCCTCGTACTCCTCCTTGTGGATCTTCTTCTCGATCAGGTGCTTGTGCTCCGGGTCCTCGGGGTCGATGATCATGACCGTCTCCCAGCGGCCGGAGCCGGTCTTGACGTCGTTCATCTCAAAGGCGGCGGTGACGACGAGCATCACGAGGGCCAGAGCCTGGGCGTAGACACGAGCCTGGACGAGCTTCTGAGCGCCGGTCAGGTACTTGTTACGGTTGACGAGGGCGAGGGCGACACCCATGGAGGCGAGCCACGAGGTGAAGACGATGGAGTATCTGTTCTCGCGGCCCCACGCGGTGAACTTCTGCATCGACGTCTCGTTGGCTCTGGCCTCGGCGACAGCCCGCGCCGTCGCGTCCTGGTAACCGAACATGGGGTCCTTCTCGTGGCCGAAGCGGATGGATGCGCGGTCGGCGTTGACAATGGCTCCAAAGGTCGCCGACGACGTGACAAGGAAGGAACGGAAGGGAAGGGTCAACGAGCGGAAGGACTGGTAGCGCCTCGAGGCGATCATGACACCCGCGAGACCGACACCCAGACCGAGGGAACCGCCAATGAGGCCGCCCTTGACGACGACCTTGTAGTGGGCTTCCTCCTCTTCCTTGCTGAGGACCTTCATGATTGCGTTTGGTAATGTGCGTTGGTTGGGAGACTGATATGCACAGAAATGCTGATCGTTAGGTGGTTGCAAAAAGTTGCGCGCAAGTGGTTCTAGGTGTGCGCGACTGAGGGTTTTGGTGTCGTCGGGATTTGGATTGTTGGTCGTGGGGAAGATGATGTCGTACGATAGCGCCGGTGACGGATCGATGACAGATCGGGGATTAGCTGGGAATATAGCTCTTGGTTGGTCCCGTGTTTGTGTGCTGAGTTGGTTTCTCGGTATCGCAGGTACAGGTACTGATTCTCTTCTTCAGTGGATGTTGTGACTGAGGCGGATGAAGCAAACGAGGCTGAAGTCGACACCCAATGGTCCTTATATCTGGCATTCAATGCTGGAAGGCAAAAAAAATTGCTGGTGACACGCCGAACGGCGATTAAAATCCACGCCGCGGGGACGAAAAACCTCGCACAGGACCCAGAATCGTGCCATGAGGTTGAGCTCCGGCATGATGTAATGGGCCCTAGCTGCCCGGTCTTTGCCGCCCGGCCGTCGTTGAGTTCAGCGCCCTACGGCGCAGTACGGGTAGAACTGTAGCGGTTCTGCAGCCGCCTTCAGTGGACTCTGCGAAAGGCGAACTTTCCCAGCAGACACCGAGAAATTTCCGTCGTCTGAGTAAGCAGCCAACAGATGCTTCTGATTGGCCTAGACACCAAAAAACCCACTGCCTCGAAAGACACAAGGCGCCCGGCCTCCAATTCCCATCAGGCTGGCAGTCTGGCCACTTTGGCGGCGCTTCCTATTTTCGCCGTTTGCTGCAGCTGAAGAGCGTTATGTAATTCAAATGCCGAAAGCCAAACCATGCCGCGGGGAGTCCGTAACTTCACTAACCTCTGGGCCGGGGACCATTCTGCTCGCCGACTTTTGTCCTTTGAGGCTGTGGATTACAATGACTTTCTTCGGCTTGCTGGCGCTGGTCCCAGTCCTGTGACCACTGAAGCTATTCGTGAATCATCATTGTTGGCTCAGGTGAAGCCCCAGCACTTGCTGAGTAAACCAGCCCGTCTGATCGGGCGAGGCCGAGAGCATGCGCCTGGTCTTCGGCAGTATTCGCCGGCTTCTAGCCGCCTCCATCACTCTTCTAGAAGCCTGTTCGTCAGGTGCGATCAGTCAGGATGCAAATGGGCTGATGTTCAGCCTGGGCTTTCTGACATTCTTTCCTTTTGACACCACTCTGCAGGTTGGTGCAATTGCTTGGTGTACCCCAGATGTCATCCAGGAACGTGGTGTTGACATGTGTCGGTAATCTGTAGTTTTTGTTTCCCCCCCCCCCCCCCCCCCCCTTGAAGGTTGATAACATTGGTTCTTTGTCTCACAATTGCTGGCCAAACCGCCGGGTTCGGCCATGTTCGGCGGAAATTGCAAAAGTTGAAATTTCTCAGGTAAATATCCATAGGAAGGGATTGAATGCGACTCTGTCGGACCAAGAGCCCGATTTCAGTCGTTGAAATTGACGGATAATGCAAATCCTGTATCTCACCTCCTCGTATTTCCGTTGTAATGGAACTGCAGCTGTGGTCTGTCTTTCCGAGGGTGTCAATGTCGGCGCTTGGAGATGCCAACGTATTCAGGACCAAGACCGTATTTCGCAACGTCAACCAGATGGTGACCATTTGGGCGTCAAAAAAAACCAAGAAGCTCTAAACATTGTTCTTGGCGGTCGCTAAGTCAGAATGCAAGGGCGGTGAACGAAACTCGTCCCGTCGCCGTCCAGTGCAACTTCAAACTGCCCGAGCCCAAACTCTCCAGCGTGGCATCGTGTGTGCACAGTTGGGGTCGGTGCGGAAATAGGAGGTGACTTTACCTTAGGTTAACCCTCGACGAGTTTCGAAAGTCCTTGCGTTTCAGACCATCTAGATACTCAGGGACCTAGTCATGCAGTCCACGTCCATGATCCCACAGCACTTCCACACTTCCGATTCAGGGTCCTCGTCCTCATGCGGTGCATCCATCCGCAGTCTGCACCCCGTGCTCACCGCTGGTTGGATGAAGCCTTCTGGCTCTCTCCGAGGTACGCATGGCATGGCGTGGCAGAGCATGCTGCCGCGTCCGACGAGTCTACTTTGGTAGCAGCGAGAACGCCCACGCGCAAGGTCCAGGTCCCCTACGAATGTGATTAGTGTATTCGTAAACCCGTCGCACGGAGTATTGTTGATGAGGTGAGGGGCAGTCCAATCTGGTTGCGCCGCCTCATTCTTCAGCCCGAACCGTCTTCTAGAAACCTTCCACAATCCTTGCTAGGGTCAGGGTCCTCTGTGCGCCTCCGCCCTGCCACGTTCGCCCACAGCAAAGCCCGAAGAAGAATACGGACCCTTCACACCGACTGGTAGCCTTTGCCCGTGCAGTCAACAATGTCCTGGCATTTCATCTTGACGCATCTAGAAGGCTTTCCGAGAAGGCTGTTGCTGTTTCTTGCAACTAAATTGCGGCTTCATCGGTGGCTCTGTTTTGTGCGCCACCTCTGGAGCTCGCCGATACCTTAAGTCTTGCCTCTTCAGCCTCGAGCGTTGCTCTATTCGTTCAATCATCCGAACCGTTGGCCCTCCAGACCAGACTTCCTCTTGTTTGATTCATGTCTCATGCACCGTGGGAGTCGTGCGCACAGGCTGCTGCTTGCTTGTCTTGAATTATTGGGCGCAGTGTCCTTTCTACCCAATACGCCGCGTTCCGGAGCTCCATCTTGGGTGAACCTGGACCAAGCCTCATTAGATCGGCTGGCGCCGAGTCATTCGACCGGAGCGCGTCCGGCGTTGAAGACATTACGTATCTGTCTCTCTGCTCTGGTTCTAGTGCTGTGGAAGGGAGCCAGTCGCACAAATCCCGAGGGCCAAGGACCCATTTCACCCTGCACATCAAATGTTTGAACAGCTGAGGATGATCAACGAAGAACGTTGAAACCGAGGTAGCATCCAGCTGCCTGCAGACGAATTATCGAAGCGAGTCCGTTCCTCCTGTGAAGTCATACTCAGGGATCGGTCGTCTGCACCGAAGTCGCAAGTCAAGTCTTTACTTCCCAGGGTATCCTAACAATATCAGATGCCTGCTTGTAGGGTATTCAGACGTGTGCATGGCCGAGAAGTCAGAGGGCCAAATGGCTCTGCAGCATCGAGACACAAAGTCTGCATGCATACAATAATCTCCTGCCAAGAAGAGACCGATCGTCTCGTACGGCGGGACCCTTAGTATCCACACGTGTATTGGTGAAGAGTGATGAGCGGCGTGCCATGCAGTATCGAGATTGCGGCATTTCAAGCCAAACCCCGCTGCGGCGCCTGGCTCTCAACGTCTTGAAGGACGGCCGAACGGTGGGCAAACGCTGACATTGCCGTTGCCGTCTCCGCGATCTCGGCCGGGAAGTTGATAAGATGTAACACGAACGTTGGGGGCTCCGTGCCTGCGGGGTGCTGCGTGGATGGTGGTGTCAGTGTCAGTGGCTCGTCAGCCACGCGTGCGTGGGCGTCAGTCAAGGTGTGCGTCGTAACGGTCGACTGGGTCGGGGAGACGATTAAGGGAAACCGATATCGATGATAGACATGATCGCCTCAAAGGCATGATCCAACGTTTGCATCCAGGCGTGGCCATCACATGCAGGATGCAGTCAGTTGTGGAGTTCGACGTTGCAAGTCTGAACTGGACAGAGGTCCGGTGGAGGGGTTTGAGATCGAAGCTCATACCAAGATCGCATAGAGATCCGGTGTCTTGCGGGCACGACGTTGAAAGCCCTTGTTGCAACTCACTTGAGGACAATAAGCGAGAGAGTCCCCTGGAGATCTACAGCTCTTTGGAGCCCCCACCATGCACCATGATTCTTGGTGAGCTAGGACTCGTGGAAGAATCATGGCAGGAGGAGTGTGCCATAACCGACGGCGTTGAGCATCATTGGATCAAGAACAGTGACCGTTAGTTACGCCTAGACGATGCGCATGCATGCCAACATGGTAACCGATCCAAAGCTTGTTGGACGAGGAAATGATGTGCCGAAAACGAGGGTCGTTTGCAGCGGTGCAGCAGCTATCCACGTCCCGTCAAGGGTCGGCAGACTTCTGTTTGTAATTGCTCGCTTTGCGCGGCTGAGGAGCAAAGACGACATCTCTCGCGGACTGCTCCATAATCCATAACCCATGGCTTCCTGGGCCTCTAGTTTTGAAAGAACGATAAAAATGCCTCGGACTCTCCAAACAACCCACGCTCTGTAGCTGATGGGCCGGAGGAGTATGCATATCCGTCTACCACCTCAACATGTTGTCGATCATAGGTAGTGTCTACCACGGTAGGTAATGCGTCCATCTCCGGGAGAAATGTCCCACACCGCTTTTCAAGCATACGCACCGTGGCACCTCAGCGACGAAACATTTCCACGCTGTAGATGCTGCATGCCCTGGAGGCCAATGCACGCTGCTGCTGCTGCTGCTACTGCTGCTTCTCCTCCTCCTCCTCGTTGCTCCAGCTCTGGTTCCGCTCCTGCTCTTTGGCTCTGAGACATGGCAGAACCGTCGGCGAAATTGGGATTCGGGCCTGCAGCGCTTAGTGTTGACTTGGTAGGCGGCGTGCCAAGTTGCCAGTTTCTGCCAGCCAGCAGCGCCAGGGGCCATATCGTCCCTGAGGAGCAAAGTGTCAAGTGCCTCGCGCAGCCCACCCATGCGACGGTGAATTCATCCGGAGCGGGAGCGAACTCTGGGAAAGGCAGCAGGGTGTGCACGGCGAGCGTTAGGCTCGTTTTAGTTGTAGCGGCTAGCAGGGATGGAGCAGCCAGGCAGAGGCCTGGCGTCCCGAAGTTGGGCTTGGCTGCGCTTTTGGGGTGCCATTATCGAAGCTGTCATTCGTCGTGCCCGGCGTGGACCGCCATGGGAGGGTGGGGGGTTGTCCTTCTGCTCTGCTTCTGCAGGTCTTCGATGCACCGTGTTCCCAGCGTTCCATTGCCTCCACCGTATCCGTGAGGAATGACGGTAACTGGTAAGGCG